CAGTAGGATTCCCTTGAGGTCCATCTAACTGTATAGTTGTTTTTTTTCTGTTCTCTCTCTCTCTGTCTCTCTCTGTCTCTCTGTCTGTCTGTCTGTCTGTCTCTCTCTCTCTCTCTCTCTCTCTCTCTTTCTCTCTCTCTGTCTCTCTCTCTGTCTCTCTCTCTCTCTCTCTCTCTCTGTCTCTGTCTCTCTCTCTCTCTCTCTCTCTGTCCCTCTCTGTCTCTCTCTCTCTCTCTCTCTCTCTCTCTCTGTCTCTCTCTTTCTTTTCTTTTTTGAGACAGGGCTCACTGTGTATCCCTTGTCTGTCTCAGAACTCACAGGTAGACCAGGCTAGCCTAGAACTCATAGAGATCAACCTACCTCTGTTTCCTAAGTGCTGAGATAAACAATATGTACCACCACACTTGGCAAGTATATAAATTTTTAAAAATATATTCCTCTAAATTGCTGAGTTACATTGCACACCGTGGTTGTATTACAGTTTGTTTAACCACTCATCAGTCGGAACACTGGGGTTGATCCCAATTTCAACCATCGTCATTATTGTTCTGGTTACTAATTGTATATGTATGCATTATGTGTGTGTGTGTGTGCGCGTGTGTGTGTGTGATACACACGAGCCACTGAAATAATGCTCATGTCAAAGGACAGCATCATGGATTCAGTTCTCTGTAAACTTTACAGTGGATTATAGGTGTTCAAGTCAGGTCACCAGGTTTTCGTGGCAAATACCTTTACCCACTGATACCATCTCGCCAGCCCTCCAACTTTGGGGTATTATGAATAAAGCTGAGGTGAATGTTTGTGTATAGATTGTTTTTGGTGAATGCAGGTTTTTATTTCTCAGATAATCAACAGGTACTTCAGGCTTATATGGTAGATGCTCAGATGTTTGCTTAGTTTCAGTTTGTGTGTTTGCTGTTGCCATGAAACGGATGAGGCAAGTACTCCACCACTAGCTTCACCCCAGTGCTCGCTTGCTAGCTTGCTCTCTCTCCCTCTTCCTCTTCCCCTCCCCCTAACAATTGCCAAGCTGTTCTCCAGGAGTCATTGAACCCTATCATATTCAGCCATTCCTCTATTAATAGACATTTTTAAGTTAGCCTTTTAAAAACATTTATTTAATTGTAATTTTTATTTTGTGTGTATGAGTGTTTCGCATTCATGTATATATACGCACCATATGTGTGCTCATTGCCTACAGAAACTAGAAGAAGAGAGGGCATTATGTCCCCTGAAACTAGTGTGACAGATGGTTGTGAGCTGGCATGTAGGTGCTGGGAACTGAACCCAGGTCCTTTGCAAGCAACACATGCTTTTAACTGTTGAGTCATCTCTTCACATCTTCAACTTTTTTTTTTATAAATTAATTTTAAAAATACAAGGTCTACCTTTCCCCACCTGCACAATGTCCTCTGAAGCTTGGCAACTGCAAGATCCTGCTTAGCAACTGCAGATAGACTCAAAGCAGAGTACCATGTCTTCTTAAGAATAGCAGGGAGACCATAACTGAAGCAGTGTACCATATCTTCTGAAGAACTGCAGGTAGATCATAATTCAAGGCAGTGTACCATATAGACCATGACATGTTTCAAGGCACAGGCCAAGAAGATTTTGTACTTTTCCACCACCTGGACCCTCTTACCCCCTCCCCTTGTAAAACATGCTATAAAAAAAGCATTTCATGTTCAAAAAAAAAAAGAAATTAAAAATACAAGGTCTCACTACATAGCTCTGTGTGATGGTTTGTATATGATTGGCCCAAGGAATGGCACTATTAGGAGGTGTAGCCTTGTTGAGTAGGTATGTCACTGTGGACGTGGGCTGGAAGCCAGTCTTCTCCTGTTTCCCTGCCTTTGGAACAAGATGTAGAACTCTCAGCTCCTCCAGTGCCATGCCTGCCTGGATGCTGCCATGCTCCCGTCTTGATGATAATGCTGAACCCATAAGCTAGCCCTAATTAAATGTTGTCCTTATAAGAGTTGCCATGGTCATGGTGTCTGTTCACAGCAGTAAACCCTAACTAAGACACCCTGGATGGCTTGGAACTCTGTAGGTAGATCAGAGTAGATCCCTCACAGGGATCTGCTTGTCTCTTCTTGTATGCTGCTATGAGATTAAAGGTGTGTACTGCTGAACTAGGCTTTACATTTTTAAATACATTTATTTATTGTACATGTAAGCACACATACACACACGTGTATGATCTTGTATGCAGTTCCTAGTACATGTTGTGGAAGATTGTTCTCTCCTTCTCCCATGTGGGTCCTGAGGATTTAACTCAGGTTGTCAGGCTGTCAGGCACAGTGGCAAATGCCTTCACCCACTGAACCATCTTACTGGCACAATTTTATATATATGTATATGTATATGTATATGTATATGTATATGTATATGTATATGTATATGTATATGTATATTTTTAAAATTTATTTGTGTCTGTATGCAAGTTTCTGTATGCATGTACATAGAGGCCAAAAGAGTGTGTGTGTGTGTGGGTTATCCTCCATCACTCTTTACCTGTTCATCTTACCTTACGCAGGGTCTCTTGAATCTGGGTTTATGCCTTGGCTAGGCTGGAAGCCAGCAGACCCCAGCAATCCTCCCGACTCTGTCCACTTGGCGATGGGGCTACAGGTGCTTATAGGGAAAATTGGTTTGTTACAAGTGGGATCTGGATTTCAGTTCTCATGATTGTAGGGCAATCATCCTTAACTGTGCAGCCATCTCTCCCTCTCCAAGATAGCTCACTTTCTCTCTTTCCCTCCTTCCTCCCTCCTCCCTTCCCTCCCTCCCTCCTTCCCTCCTTCCCTCCCTCTGTCCATTCCCTCCCTCCCTCCTTCCTTCCCTCTGTCCCTTCCTTCCCTCCTTCCCTCTGTCCCTTCCTTCCCTCCTTTCCTTCCTTCTTTCTCTGATTCTTTTTGTGGCACTGAGGGTTGACCCTAATGCCTCATATATGCTACGTGAATGCTCTACCTCTGATCTACAGCCTTAACTCTTTTTATTTGTGTAATCTTTAGAATTTATTTTATTTATTTGTCTTGGAGTTTCTATTGTTATGATAGAACACCGTGACCAAAAGCAACTTGAGGAGGAAAGGGTTTATTTTGGCTTATATCTTACAGTCTATCATGAAGGGAAGTCAGGGTTGGGGCTCAAGGAATCTGGAAGTAGGAGCAGAAGCAGAGGTCATGGAACAATGCTGCCTGTGTGGAGTGCTGGCTAGTTGTTTGCTTGTTTGGTGTTCGTTTGTTTTCATTTGTCAACTATATACAAGCTAACGTCATCTTAGGAAGAGGAAACATTTGTTGAGGAATTGCCTTCATCAGAATGTCCTGTTGGGCACTGTCTTGATTAATGAGGGTGGGGAAGGGCCCAGCTTACTGTGGGTGGTGTCAACGCTGGACAGGTGGTCCTGAGTTCTATAAGATAGCAGGCTGAGCAAGTCAGGAGGAACAAGCCAGTAAGCAAGTTCCTTCATGGCTTCTGCTTTAGTTCCTGCCCTGACTTCCCTTCATGACGGAATGTGAGCTGTAAGCTGAGCTCCCCCACCCAAAAGTTTCGGCCATGATGTTTATCATACACAAAGCACCACTACCGCCCGAGCCATCTCACTGGCCCTGTTTTTAAAAATTCTTTCCTTAATAGCTTTAATTGACTGCCGAAAGCTGTTTAATGGAAAGTAAGTCGCACTGATCAGGTTAGGCGCATTCTTAACAGATGATTGCGTAAACAGACTTTGTATGCTGCGTGCAACGGCCTGGAGGATTGCTTTGCTTATCTTTGCTAAACCGTTTTCCTTTCCAAATTTCCATCCTTCGGGGCTCATGGCTGCGTTCTGCTGAATAAAGTAACAATGCAGACATACAATTTGGGAAACGTTAAGGTCTGATGCTGTGATATGTCACAAGAAGAGAGAAGCACGGGCCGGGCGGTGGTGGCGCACGCCTTTAATCCCAGCACTCGGGAGGCAGAGGCAGGCGGATTTCTGAGTTCGAGGCCAGCCTGGTCTACAGAGTGAGTTCCAGGACAGCCCGGGCTATACAGAGAAACCCTGTCTCGAAAAACAAAAAAACAAAAAAACAAACAAAAAAAAAAAAAAACAAAAAAAAAAAAAAAAGAGAGAAGCACATGTGACCACCAGTCATGGATGTCAGCTTGGATCCTGCTTGCCTGGCAAAAGGACCAAGCAAAATTCTTCAGGCTCGCTCACAGTATACATGGAATTTCTTCTATATTATTTTATTCTTCTGTCAAGTTTTTTTTATATCAAATAGATTAGTTAGTCTGTCTTTGCCTAAGTGAATAATGTTGCTACATCATTAAAAACATTGTAAGGCCAGGCTTAGTAGCCATGATTTTGATCCTAGCACCTCTGAGGCAGAGGCAGGGGCATCTCTATGAGTTTGAGGCTAGCTTGGTCTATATTGTGAGTTCTAGGACAGCCAGAGCTACATAGTGAGACCCTGTCTCAAAAAAAAAATTCCCCCAAATTTACTTTTATTTCTATCATCTATCTATCTATCTATCTATCTATCATCCATCTATCTATTTTCCCTCCCACCCTTATTCAATGAGGCAAGGGCTCTCAATCAAACCCAGATGATGGCTAATAACCCATATTAGCCAATATGGCTAATCTCACTAGCTAGCTTGCTCTGGGGGATCCCCTATCTGTATTCTGAGGTTAGCATAACAGATGGTCACTTTGCTCACCCAGCATTTACGTGGGTTCTGGGGATCCAAACCCTGGTCGTCAGGGTTATACGGCAAGGGCTTACCCACTGAGCTACCTACTTTCATTCATTTATCGTTTCCCTTTTCTTTCTTTCTTTCTTTTTTTTTTTTTAGGTGCTGGGACTGAACCAGGGCTTTGAACATACTAAGCAAGATCTATCAACACAGAAAAACTCAGGAAAGGAGGCCAAAGATCCTTAAGCATGGAGTTAATGACAGGATGGGTCAAGATTACGAATGCCTTGTTTGCTCTTAGTGGTGCCCCTCCTCAACCCAGTGAGGCTGGGGAACCCCCAGGGAGACTCTCAGGCCGAGCAGCTGTTGGCAGCTATTACTTCAGTGGTCAAGCCTTCTGGGGTTAGGGACACTTGGCTTCATCCACCTTCAAGCAAAGACTCTTTGGTCTCTGAACCCGAGATTCCTTATCTGTGAAATACAGGCATTGGAGAAGCATCGTGGGCTAGGGATGTAGTTCAGCTGGTAGAGTGCTTACCCAGCATGCATGGGGACCTGGGTTAGATCCTGAGCATGGCTGGGTGTTGGGATGAATTGTTGCAATCTCAGCACTTTGCTGGAGGAAGCAGGGAGATCAGAAGTTCAAGGGCTCCCTCAGTTACATAGCAAGTTTGAGGCCAGCCTAGGCTATAAAAGACCCTATCTCAACAACAAAAACAACAAACAGAGAAAACAAAAAAGAAGACAAAAACACTGGGGAAATGCAGACATGTCTAGAAGGCAGAGGTAGTATCCTTGCTCTGGTGACTGTGGTTATCCCCTCTCCAAGGCCAGGAGAATACCAGCTGAAGACATGGATCCACACAGGGCCCTTTTCTTCTGCCTGTGCCTTCTGGCTGCTCAAGTTGTCCTAGTAGGTAGGTGACAGTTCATGGGGGAGGAATGCTGAAAAGCTGGGTCAAGGTCTGAGTCCCATTGTCCACAGAAACTCAATCAGAGCTACTGAACTTCATGAAGCGACTTGAGCAGCCTGTAGGCCGGAGCTTGTTTACCAAAGTGAGGTGAGTCGGGTATACCCTCAGCCATAGATACACTTAGCAGATGGTGACTGAGTACCCACTGCATGCCTGCTACCAAAATCTAGAGTTGGGGAGGCCTTCCACCTGTTTATTGTCTATTGAGGACCCTCGATGAAGTGTTATAAACCAAAAAGGTCTCTGCGTTTCCTAGGTAGGAGCTCTAAGACTTGGGTGGGGGACACGGCTTACACAGGGGTCGGGGGTTGGAGAGCCGAGATATGATGGTGGGAGGGCTGGGTTGGAGACCCCACCCCTTGGCTGTCTCCAGCTCCTTCTCCCCACTTCCAGGTATATCCACTACCTGGAGCAGATGCTGCTCAATGCCAGCTTCTGTGGGCACAACTTGACCTTGCAGACAAACTCCATCCAGTCTCTGGTCTTCAAGCTGAGCTGCGACTTTCCTGGTCTCTCCTTGTCCAGCGCCACCCTGACAAATGTCTCCCAGGTCAGAGGCGGCTAGGGAAGTCCTGCAGTTCCCTGTTTCTGCTCTGCCCTGATCAGTTGGGAGTGGTCCCATCTGCTTTACTGTGGGAAGATCAGAAAGAGGAGGTGGCCTGTGACCTCTCCTGGTCAGGATCATCATCTTGATTTTTGCCTAGAGGTGGAGGGCAGGTCCCTGGGACTGGTAGCAGCTAGGGCCACCTGTGTCCTTTTAGGACCCTGGTGTAAACAGGATGGGATATTTGGCCCGTGCTGGGGTGTGCACTGGGGTAGTTCTGTTCTTAGGGAATGAAGATGGGTGTGGAAGTCTGGGGGGGGGGGGGAGTTGGTGCTGTCAGATGGTGGAGGCTCGGGGAAGGCCTAGTTGGTAAGGTTTAATGGGGAGGGAATCTCAAGATGCTAGAACTGGACCTGTGGTCCCAGCCCATCGGCTGCCATCCACAGGCATGGGCCCCGCATGCCATGCAGTTCCCTGCTGAGCTGACCAAGGGTGCCTGTGTGACCTCCCGGCCTGCTGAGCTACGACTCATCTGCATCTATTTCTTCACCGCACACCTCTTTCAGGTCAGCAGTGGGTAGCCGAGGACAGGAGCTTCTTCTATATCTCAGGTTGGCTGGAGGTGTGGACCAGTTCACTGTGCAACCGTAGCTGACCACCACTCTCTGGGCCCCACTCACTCGACCTGCTTTAGGGAGAGATGAAAGCAACTTAAGGAAGGAAGAGTTTGTCTTTGCTCAGAGTTTCAGGGTGCAGCCCATCATGGTGGAAGTCTTGCAGGAGTGTGCAGGCCTATCCAGAACCTAACCTAATCTCTATAATCATAAACAGACCTACCCAGTTGACCTACAGGAACTCTAGGTGATGTAAAGTCTTGTCAAACTGACTATATGTATATGTATATGTATATGTATATGTATATGTATATGTATATGTATATGTATATGTATATGTATATATTCCCTCACAGGGAGGTAGGATTGCAATCTGCAAAAGAGGCCCAGGACCTTAGGGTGTCCATGTCTGTTCTGAGATGGGAGACAGACAGAAGACAATGGCAAGGAGGGTCTGGGGTGAGAATTCTCATCTCACCCAGAGTCTCCCCTTCAATATCCCCATTTCCACTGCCCTTCCAGGATGACCGGAACTCATCACTGCTCAATAACTATGTCCTGGGGGCCCAGCTGGATCACAGGCCTGTGAACAACCTTCAGAAGCCAGTCAACATCAGCTTCTGGCACAATCGGAGTCTGGTACTGTTGGGCCCGCCTCCACCCCAGCTCTGAAGCTTTCCCAGTCAGCCCTGGTTTGGCCAAACTGAAAACTGTGGCGCCATCTGGGAAACAACTTTAAATCTGTTCTCTGAAGATTTCTGTAAAGAAATGAGAAAGAAGTTTTTTCTTTCTTTCTTTCTTTCTTTCTTTCTTTCTTTCTTTCTTTCTCTCTCTCTCTTTCTTTTTTTCTCATTTGCTAGGGCTACAGAGCCAGCTTAAGCTTGCTTAAGCCCTAAAGGGGATTTATATGTTCCTACCAATGGATGTTCAGGGGCGTTCCACCTTCAGGCATGGCTGGATCTAGGCATGGATCTAATACTGTTAGAGTACAGTCTTCTCTAGCCTTAGCAATGTTTTCTTGCCTTGGCTTTCATTTCTATGGTAAGATGGAGGCTGAAGACACTAAGTTTCCCTTCAGTTCTTAGAAGGTTCTTCCCCAACAGTGCAAGCCAGACTTGTGTCTATGACTGAACCAGGCTGCATCCAGGTGAGATGTGTGGATTTGCTAGGCTGGGTCACATGGGGTGGAGATAGCACTGGTGCTGATGCTGGAACAGAAAGGGATGCCTGGGAGGCACAAGTCCTGATGCTGCTGCTTCCGGGTCCTAGGCCTGCCTGTATCCCTGTGAAGAAGCCCAGAGTGCTGTTTTCTGGCTCTGTCTCGGCAAGAAGCTTTGCACTCTCAACCTCACAGCAACCTTTCCTTCTATCTTCTGAGCTTTGCCACTGGCCTTCCCTTTGGAATGAGTGTCCTGTTCCACCTCTGTTCAATCCATGTACCCCTAATCCATGTTCCTCTGTTTCTCTTCGGCTGCTTTCCAAAGCCTGCCTGTGTACCACCCCTTACCTCCACCATAGGGCTTGGCTGCAAATGAGTTTCTCACGATGGGTCTAGGAATGAGATAGCAAACAGCAGTTTACAGAAGACCTGCCCCACGAAGGGCCAGCACTGCCCCCGAGAATATGGAATAGTCTCTTGTGTTTCTGCCAACCTCGTGATTTGGATATGTATGGTCCGTTTTGCTGACGAATAAACTGAGGCTCAGAGAAGATTGCCCACTCGTCTAGGACACTGAGGATTTGTGGCAATGGCAGGGCTGACCTCTGGGATTGTCAAAGCCCAGCCAGACCCCACAAAATGTTGGCAGTGGTGCAGTTGACTCTCTCTTGGGCCCCAGGCCCCCAGCCCCTAATATGAGATCTTGTCCAGCACCTCTGGACTGACACTCACATTTCATTTCAGGAAGGGTATTCGGTAACCTGCGTCTTCTGGAAGGAGGGAGCCGGCAACCGCAGCTGGGGGGCCTGGAGCCCCGAGGGTTGTTATACAGAGCAGCCGTCACCCACTCAGGTTCTCTGCCATTGCAATCACCTCACCTACTTTGCTGTGCTCATGGTATGGGAGCGTTCACCTTGAGGGAGGGGGATGAGCGCTGCGGGAGGGAGGGTGCCCTGATATGTGGTGAGGGCTGCAAGGCTAAGGACGGCATAATCCAGTGAGCCTAAGCCTCTCCGCAAGTAAACTTAGGGACTCGCATTCCTTTAAAAGTCTGTTTAGGCGTTAGGCATGGCTTGATCCGGGAGCTGAATCACACGAACACAGGATTCCATCTCTGTCCCTTGACTCTGCTTGCTCCGTCCTGCCTTGGCCCTCAGCTAGGATGCCCAATGGAATAATAACACAGCTGCCAGTATCTGCAGGCTCATGCCTAGCTGCCTTTCAGACTAATGGGATTCAACAGCCTCCCTGACCCAGCCTCAGTCTTGAGATCGAATCCAGGTGGAGGCTCTTGAGTCAATCACTGTGGACGGAGGAGGAAGGCTCCAGACAGACCAGGGTTGATACACAGGTCCATACAGTGGGAGGAATGGTTTCCCAACCGTGCACATGGAATGGCTCGAGAGTGCTTTCAGGGAGGAGTAGGGACAGCAGTTATAGGTGGCAGGCCATGATGCAGGCTACAGCTTCCTTCAAGGCAGGACTGGGCTGAGCTGTAGGGAAGGGACTTGGGGCTGAGGTCTGGGAGGCTTCTTTGGGAGAGCCCAGGGAGAGCTGGACATTTCTATGCTTCAGGCTCTCAGCCCCTTTTGCCCTGTAGCAGCTCTCTGGAGACCCGGTGCCCACTGAGCTGCAGGTGCCTCTTGAGTACATCTCCCTTGTGGGTTGCAGCATCTCCACTGTGGCCTCGCTGCTCGCCATACTGCTGTATGCTCACTCCAGGTAATCCTCTGCCTTGCCCAGCCTGCCTGCCCCACTGCTGGTCTGTGTCTTCCTTCTTGCCCCAGTGTCTGCCTTCACACCCCGGGCAGGTGGGTGTTACTCAGAGGGAAGGGCCAGCCTAACAGCATGGCAGCCATTAGGTCCTTCCCCATTTGCCTCAGTTTCCCCATGATTGTGCATCCGTGAGCCAGGCCACGGTACTACCTGGGTGACATCCCACCCACAGGAAGCAAAGTGACTCCACCACAGGCATCCACGTAAACCTGCATGGCTCTGTTCTCCTCTTGAATGTCACCTTCATTCTGAGCTCCCAGATGGCCCTGCCCACGGTGCCCAGGCCAGTCTGCATGGTGCTGGCTGCCACCCTACACTACGCACTGCTCAGCAGCCTTACCTGGATGGCCATCGAAGGCTTCAACCTCTACCTTCTCCTGGGGCGTGTCTACAATGTCTACATCCACCGATACTTGCTCAAGCTCTGCCTGCTGGGCTGGGGTAAGGGACACCTATCTCTCTGGCGTCTGGAACTTCCAGTGTACAGGGCGCCGATCCCAAGTCCTCCTGCCTTTTATAGTGGCCATCTCTAACTCCATCTCTGTCAGTAACATCAGCTCCACCATCACCTCCACCCCCAATGTCACCATTGCGCCTGCCGTCATGCCCATATCTTCTGCCTTCAATACTGTCATCACCACCATAGTGGCCTTCACCACTTCCAATCTCAACACTGCCATTACCCGCAGTCCCCTGTCCCCACTACCACCATCATCACATCCCGCCTCTGCTACTCATGCCTGCTTTACTCCCATTTCCATCCACCCCATCTCAATCATCTGCATCACCTTCTTCACCTTCCCTGCACCTTACCACCATTTCCGTACTCATCTTCACCACATGAGCACCACCCCAGACCCTTCCGTCACCATTTCAGCCCATCTTTTAATTGTCTCCATTTTCTTTCAAGTTTCCCAACCAATGCCACCTTCCTGTTAGCTCCTTGCCACCTCCCAAGTGACCGCCATCACCGCTGCCACTCAGCCTGGAATCTCACTAACATCTTAGAGATGAACCTCTTCCACTCAGCACAGTGTACACCCCTCCTCGGTCACCAGGCCTGGGGAGCAGAGCCAGGTCATCTTGGGGCCTCCTGACTCTTTGTCTCACCCCTCAGGGTTTCCAGCCTTCTTGGTGCTGCTTCTTCTGGTGGTCAGGAGTTCCGTGTACGGACCCTGTGTGATCTCCTTCTCCAAAAGCCAGGAAAATGGTACAGGCTTCCAGAATGTGTCCATGTGAGTGCCTGGTGAGGTAGAAGGGTCATGTGGGCCTCTATGGTGAAGTGATGGCTGAGGGGCAGAGGCAGCCATGGTTTAGATGGGGGGATTCCAGTGGGTTCCTCTCACCCTTTCTGTGTCCCTGGGGTCTCTGCAGAGATGGAGGGCTGCTCTGTGCTGACTGACTAGGAAGCCATAGAGTGGATATCAATACTTGCTGAGTCTCTAGGACCAGTTCGGAGGGTCTCTTGGCAACACTTGGCCATATAGCAAATGGGTTGGCCCTGTGGTTTGATCTAGTACAGGCCCCAGAGCTACTTAGCTTGGCTGGCACCTGATTGCTGTGCCTTCAGGCTATCTATCTATCTATCTATCTATCTATCTATGTATCTGTCTATGTATCTATCTATATCTCTATCTATGTATCTATCTATGTATCTATGTGTCTATGTATCTATGTGTCTATGTGTCTATGTGTCTATGTATCTATGTGTCTATGTATCTATGTGTCTATGTATCTATGTGTCTATGTGTCTATGTATCTATGTGTCTATGTATCTATGTGTCTATGTATCTATCTATCTATCTATCCATCCATCTATGTATCTATGTATTTATGTATGCATCTATTTGTCTGTCTGCCTATCTATCATCTATCCATCCATCCATGTATGTATGTATGTATGTATGTATGTATGTATGTATGTTGTTTATCATCTACTTACCCATCTACCCACTTTTTATCTGTCTGCATCCTTACACTGAAATGACATTTTAAAAAGCACCCCTCAAACACAGTCTGGTCAGGCAGCAGCAGAGGTGCTGAAGTAGTGAGCAGGGGTAAAGCCTGCATGCTAGAATATTCTGTAGCAGCAAAGCAAAGGGTGATCAATGCTGGTTACCAATGTGCATGACTCTCACAAATGATGTTCAAGGACACTGACTCCAGTGTCAGGGCCCCAGGATGGATTGGGGGGATCTGAATAGGTGATTAGTGCCCAGACCAAGGGGCTTCAAGCCCTACTCTTGCTCCTAACCAGGATGTGCTCTTGAGAAGAAACCTCAGTTTTCCTAACTATAGAATGGAGATGGTTAGGTGCCTGTCCATGGCTCGCCATGAGGATTGCCTGGGATGACCCATGTTGGCCATGGGGCGTGGTAATCTGATCTGAGCAAAGAATAGCACCTGTCTTGTAGATGTCCTAGAGAGGTCAGGGCTCAGAGGTACCCCAGGTCCCTCTGTGGGATTTCCCTACTGCTCATCTGCTCCCCCATTCTTACATGCTAGAGCATCTACCCACCAATCCATGGGCGGTGCTTCACATACTGCTCAGGTCTAGGTGGGGCAAAGGTCAAAGGTCACCATTGCACAAAGGTGATGGCGAGATGATGACAATGGTCGGGTAGGGTGGAAGAGGAAGCTTCCAGAGCAAGAGCCCAGGCTAGCCCATTTACTAGAATGTTGTTCAGGTTGGCATGGAGGGGAGAAGGAGAGGAGGAGGTTCAGTTGGGTCAGATTTATCCATCATGGTTGAAAGGAGGCACTTCAGTAAGTAGGCAGAGGTGCCAGCCAATCCAGCTGTGGTGGCAGACAGGAAGCTGGGCAGAGGAGCTTTGGCATATGAACTAACTGTCAGGCAAGTTATGACCACTGGAACATCAAAACCAGTCAGGGACAAGAGCTGGTCCCAAGGCTCAGGTGTGTTTGGCCTCCCACTGGTCTTGGGACCATGTTAAATCCTGGCCTTCTCCCGCCTCCTCCAGGTGCTGGGTATGCAGTCCCATGGTACGCAGCATCCTGGTCATGGGCTATGGTGGCCTCACATCTCTGTTCAACCTGGTGGTGCTGGCCAGGGCTCTGTGGATCTTGTGCAGGCTACAGGCACGGGAGAAGGCGCTGAGTCCCTGGGCCTACCGGGATACTGTCATGGTGTTGGGCCTCACTGTGCTACTGGGTACCACCTGGACCCTGGCCTTCTTCTCCTTCGGTGTGTTCCTGCTGCCTCAGCTTTTCCTCTTCACCATCTTCAACTCGCTCTATGGTAAGTCTGCAGGAGCTCACAGGGCCACAGACCCTGGGAGGGGCCTAGTTACTGAGGTCCAGGGGTGGATAATGACTGAGCCCACAGCTCCATTTAAGCTGGTCTAGGGGCACATTAATGCTTGCCTCTGAACTGCATGGAGGTGCAGTTCTGGTGTCCTCTGGGTCTGTCTCTCTGTCCCCAGTAGGAGATTATTGGCTTCTAGCGACCTTCTTACTAACCAGCCTGCCTTGCAGGTTTCTTCCTCTTCCTGTGGTTCTGCTCACAGAAGCGTCACTCAGATGCCGAAGCCAAGGCAGGGATGGAAGCAATCAGTTCCTCCCAGATGATGCACTAACCCAGCTCCAGCCCTGCAGTCTCAGCCCTCACTACTTCCAGCAGCCCACAGCCTTGGCTCATCCAGGGAAGGCTATCGGTGGGACAACAGTCTACTGTACCCTTCAGGGAGCCTTTCCATCTCTCAGAATTACCTGGGGCAGAAGGCAGGGCATGACTCTTCATCCTGGTCCTTTATGTCTGGATGCAGCTCCATTGGCCAGGCTATGGACAGAACACTGACTTGGAAGTCAGGAAGTTACACTAGACTGGATTGTGGCCTATGCTTGTGACACTCTTTCTTTTACCAGTACCAAGTGTGGATGACTTGACCTTCTATCTTTCCAGCCCTTCCTCCTTTTAACCCCCACAGACGGTATAGACCAGCAGCCTAGGCCAGGCCTCTGTCTCTTTCTGTGAAGCTGAGCCAGCTGGGCTTGAGGGATCTCGATGCTAGACTACTGCATAGACATGGGGGTGTGTTCAACGTTTACAAACTCTCTGCCCACACTGGGAGAACATCTGGCTGCCTGTCAGGCCAGGTGGAAAACAATGCTTAAGTCAGCGCTATCCCCAAGATGTACAGCAGGGGGCGCCGTTGGCCTGTACGACAAGGCATTGGTACCGAAACTGCCCCTGGAAATGCAGATGTTACCGACCCTTCGACCAGTAGAGTTAGGACATTCACACATCCATTGTCTCTTTCCCTATGCAGCTGACCAAGGTCGCTTTTGGGGCTTTGTACCCAGGCATTCCTGGCACCAGGCAGCTGGTTGGGTAGACTCTCAGGTCCCACGCCAGCTGTGTACTTGAACAGTGAGGGGATCAGAGCTGGACGCCATCCTCCACAGACAGTCCTCTTCGTTTCTAGGTGTTTCTGGGTAATTATATTCTTAGCTCTTCACTGGCTGGAGAGTGGTACAGGCTCTGGGCCAGGTTGCCTGGGCTCAGATTCCAGCTGTGTGGCTGTGGACAAGTCGTTCAGTTTCTCTGTGCCTTAGTGTCCCCAGTCTACAGCAGGGGAAACAAAAGTAACTCTTTGGAAGTTTCAGTAAAAGAAAGAATCCACTCAAGTCTTAACACAGTGAGGTCTCAATAGATGGTTACTGCTGTCAGTAGATTTGTATTTGTATTATTATTTGGGTATACGTGTGTGTGTGTGTGTGTGTGTATGTGCACATATGCACCCTTGCATATGTATGCTGAAGTCAGAGAAGGATGTTGGGTGTCCTGTTTTATGACTTTTCGTCTTATTCCCTCGAGACAGGGTTTCTCACTAAACACGGAGCCAGGCTGACAGCCAACAACCCCAGCAGTTACCTAGTAACTGGAGTCCACTTTCACTACCTGCTCCCCACTACACACACACACACACACACACACACACACACACACACACCAGTGCTGGGATTGCAGGCTCCTGTGACCATACGTGGCTTTTGCATAGGTGCTGGGATCTGGGCTCAGGCCCTCATGTTTATACACAAAAGCTCTCATGTACCAAGCCATCTCTTTAGCCACCATTACTGTTAATGGCTTTAACTGAGTCAAGCTGTTCAGGTCCCAGGCCTGGTGCTGTTTGCCCTCACAGCTCCTCCTTAGGTATATCCTTCCATTTCTGTCTTGTGGCCCCCTCTCCCACTTTTCCTGGAGGAGGACCTTGCTCAGGCCTCTGGTCCCCTACTGTGCCAGTGAGGTTCCTTACACAGTGCAGCTTCAGGCTAGCCCGCGTCTCCACCCCCAGTTCCTGAGTCCTCCGTTGGTCCGTTTATCACACCCTTCATGAATCCTCCCCCATTGGCACCACAGGGAAGGCCTCATTCCTCCACCAGATCCCCAGGGTTCATCGAGCATGGAGATCTTTGGTCTGAGTCTCCATGCTAATGAGGGTGCTGAGGGATCATGGGAATTGGGACAACTGGATAGATGGGGAAGGCTCAGATGTCACAGGGCCTTGCTCAAGCCCAGGCCCTGGCCTCTCAGAGCAAGTAAGCCCAGAGCAACCCAATGGAGGATATGTCCACAGTGACAGTCCTAAATCTGTAGCTCTGAGCCTCACCAGGAGCCCAGGCTCTAGGGTAGCACTTCATGTAAATACTTCAGTGGGGGTGGGGAGTTAGGGCAGCCACAGGAAGTATGGGCTGCCAGATTAACTCTAGCTGTCCTTCAGCCTTCCCAACAGACAGCCTAGGTGATGGTCCAGCTCCTGGGCTTCTAGACTCGGAGGAAGGGAGAGGGGTTGGGGATGGAGTTTGGGGATACTGTTCAGGGAAAGGCTCTAAGGGTGGCATTTGGTGAAAAGCTGACAGAAGATGTGGGGTCAGAAGGCCCTGGAGTCTCTCTAGGTGTGGGTGACCAGCGGTGTGGGGTCAGAAAGGCCCTGTGGTCTGTTGAAAAGAGGATTCCAGAAAATGCAAAGGAATTCCACTTTTGAAGACATGCTTACTCTCAGAAGTTACTCAGTTATCTAAAATTCAAATTCAGCCTCATGCCCCATATATCTATTTTTATGTTTGCTAAATTCAACCCTAATTAAAAAGTATTGGCTCAGGAGTCTCATCTTTCAAATCACCCCAAACCGATACCAACTGAGCAGCCCCTCTGCCCGTCAAATCAGCCCACTCTCTAAACCCACTCAGAATGTTCTTCCTGTTGCCAGCAGAAACCCCAAAGGGCCCCACTGTACCATGAGCTCTGGCTCAGAATCTGGCTGCCCCTCCAGACAGAGCCTCCTTACAGGAGGCTCTTTGCCTCCCCAGAAGCTGGAGGAAAGCTTCTTCCTTGCAGCCTCAGCATGTTCTGTCCATAGCTTAAAACATCTCTCCTCCTCCTCCTCCTCCTCCTCCTCCTCCTCCTCCTCCTGATGTTCCTCTTGTTCCCCCTCCCCCCCCCCCCCGCCTAATGTGGCAAGTGGAAGCATAGGGGGCCTCTCTCCAGCCCAGTTCCCCTTCCTTGATCTTGCCACACCAAACAACTTTCATTTCTCCAGACAGCATCCTTCTCATCTTTGGGCTGGTCTTTTTCTGGAACCTCCCACCCTCTGTCCCTGATGCCTTTTATTTGTGGAATGATGGCTATGCCTCCTTAGCATCTTAGCATCTCAGCTTGGTACACCCCCAACCCCCTCGAGCCTGGACAGAGAAGTCCCTGACCTCCAGTCTGGATGGAGCTTTCTTTCCACTCCCTTCCCCCAGAGCAGAAGTTATTCCTCCGTCTTGCAACTAACTGTCCCTGTCTGGCTCAGCCGCCAGACGGCAAGCGTTCTGGAGACAGGTGCTGTGTCTCATTTGTTCATTCACCCATCATAAAATGGTTTAACACTTATATTTTGGGCATTGCACTAGTTGCTAAGGATATATAAATGAACAAGTCATCACATTCTCATGTGGGGGTGTCCTACAAGAAGCAGTTTAGCAAATGGATATAAAATATGACAGCTGGTACCATGGACTGTGAAGAAACATAAGAAGGTGAGAAGGGGGGGGTGCAATCTTCGTTTTGTCAGAGGCTTTGGGCTTGAGGGTGCAGGACAGGGTCAGTGAGCTGACCTCACTAGTCACTGATGGGATGGAGTTTCCTAAAGCAAGTTTTCCATGTGGACTTTAGGGGAGCTAGGGTTAGGGAGGACGGGAAGGAGAGTCTCCTCTGAGAATAAGCTTCCAGGGAGCTGGGGTTGGGAAGCCCCTTGGTTAGGTAGGGAGGATTTACTCTGTGGGTAAGACCAAGCAAAAGGGTTTCATATCCATCTTCCCTAATCACAAGCATGTGAGCCACCATGAGGGGTGGGCTATAGAGAGGAAAAGAAGACAACAGAACAAACTCCAAGAGGCTGCAGAAGATGTTTAAAAGAACGAAAGCTGCAATGACCTGATGTGTATATAAGTAAGATGAGTAAGGATGGGGTGGAAAGGGAGAGAGGGAGAGAGAGGTGGGGTGGAAAAGAGGAGGAGGGAGAGGAGGGGGAGGAGGGAGAAGGGGGAAGAGGGAGCAGAAGGGGAGGAGGAAGAGGAGGAGGAAGGGGAAGGGGGAGAAAAAGGGAGGAGGAGGGGCAACAGCAGCAAAATGGAACTTCTAGAAGTGAAAAACTATTCTAAAATCTAAAATTCAACAAGCAATCCACAGCCAAACGGAGGGAGAGCTAGGACTTGCCTATAATGTGACAAGAGACATGACAGGAAGTATGAGAAGAGAAACAGAAGCACGGAGAGCAGAGTCAGAAAAGTCTCACAATGAAATCCCAGGAGAAGAAACTAAAGGGATAGACACAGCGGTTACAGGTTTTCTCAAGGGAGACCCACAGAACCAGGGAGCATGGCACTTCTCAAGGGGAACTCGGGAAAATGGAGCTGCAGTCTGTACCTCTGAGGGACACTTCAGATATAGAGAAGTGAGGAGAACAGTCACGGAGAAAGGACAGTGCGCATCGTGAGCTTCTCTGTCCATAGCCACAGTGACAGGCTGGGAGACTGCAGTGGGGTCCCCAAAGGGAGAGGAACAAAGACACGTCAGCTAGAATTGCCTGCAGCAAACAGCCCTTTCATAAACTGAGACACAAAGGAAAATATGTTCCCTTTAACATTGAAAGGTAAATAAAAGCTGAGAGCAATCTAAAAGATTTCAGAGTGTTACTTCAACAAAGAAAGTGATTCCAGAAGTTTACTCTGAGACACAAGGATTGGAGAGTGTAGAAACAGTGGGTGTCAGCCAATACTTGGTTCTGAAGATATCTGTATTCCCCCTGAACACCCACACTCCAGTGTCATTCCCTTCCCCACATCCTGCCTTTCTGCATTTTTAACCCCTGTGTGAATGAATTACGATTTGAGAAAAAATAAATTTTTAAAAAAATGAGGAAATAAAAGGAAAAAAAAAGAAACAGTGGGTGTACGAAGGCCCGTTACATTCACATGGGTGAAACTGTGCCTTTGTTTGTTAAAGACAGACGGATCTGAAATGCCAGAGAATAGAATGCAAGTAGAGGGGGGAAAGACAGTGCTACAATAATGGTCGGAAGCCTTTGTGTTTAGGGGTTACCAAGGTTGGAAACACATTCCTATTAATGCTCTGGTTTGCGTAGGATTTAAGTGTATCCTATCAAAGCTCACATGGTAGAAACCTGGTCTCCAGCGTGGATGCCGACGGAGAGAGCGCTCTGGAAGGTAACACGGAGTCCTGGCCTCGACAGGGATGCATATGGCATCCATGGAGCCCCAGGTGATGCCCAAAAGAGTGGATTATTTTGTTATGGTTTCACAGTGATGCTTAAACTCACTATGTAGCCCAGGATGGCTTTGAACTTCTGATCATCCTTTCTCCTCTGAGGGCTAGGATCAAAGGCTAGTGCCAGCACACATAGATTATGGTCTTTTCCTTTCCATCTTACGATGTGATCTCTTCTGTGCATGTTCCTGTCATTACCTTGAGGCTCTCGACAGAGGCTAGGTCAACGCGACCACCCAGTTCTGGATTTTCAGCCCCCAAACTATGAGCTAAATGAATCTTTTTGTGTAAAATATCCAGACCCCTGGATTTTGTTATAACCATGCAAAGTGGGCTAGTACAACTAGATGTTGTTCTTTAAATGTAGGGGCTGGAGAGGTGGCTCAGTGGTTAGGAGCACTAGCTGTGCTTCCAGAGGACCCAGGTTCAATTCCCAGCACCCACATGGCAGCTCACAACCACCCGTAGTTCCAGGCAATCTGACACCCTCACACAGATATACATGTAGGCAAAACACCAATGCATATAAAAGCAAATTAATAAATCTTTAAATGTACATGGCGGAGATTTCAAAGGCAACAATTAAGGAAATAAAACTCATGTTTACACATATTTTGGGGGAGAGAAAAGTGGTGTAGGAAAAGAAAATAAATCAAACGCAGTTAAAAATATTTATTATATTTTCTGTGTGTGGGTGGTTTGCCCGCAATATGTCTGTGCACTGCACAAGTGCTTGGTGCTCATGGAGGCCAGAAGAGGGCCTCAGATTCCCTGGAACTGGAGTTTTGGATGGTTGCAAGCCACCATATGGGTGCCAGGAATTGAACCAGGTCCTCTGCAAGAGCAGCAAGTGCTCTTAACCATTGAGCCTACTCTCCAGCCCAAAGCTTAGTTAGTT